TTTTTCAACTGGGCAATCTTTTTTTGGGGGGGGGGGGGGGGAGGGAAGGGATGCCCACCCATTAGCCATAAAGACTTTGGAAGAGCTAAAATTCTGATAAAGTCTATGGAATTGGTCTTGAAGCTTAAAGGTAATAGGTAAGGGATTACCTCAAGAACAATCTTGTCTACCACTAACAATATAATTGAAGGCAGGTTCGTCTGTAAAGATAGTTACTGTTGTTAGCTGACTTTGCAGTTATTTTTCTCAACAGTAAATTAGTAACTGGAGCTGAATTAATAAGTGAACAAATCACACCTTAACACTAGTTCTAGAACTGTTACCAATTAAGCTATATATGTAACAATATAACAAATTCTCTAATAGATAGAAATATGAATGAGGATCTTGTTATAAAATTTAAACTAGACGCTTAATTGTCAAACCTTGGTTTTTTTTTCTGTAAAAGATCTAAAATATAATAAGAATAAACTAGATATATTAACATTTGATGTATTTTTTTTCACAAAAAGTTTATTTTTTTATATTTTAAAATGTAGATAAGTGTACTTTAAAGTGTAATTCTGTTAATTGATAGCTCAAACCAAACCCGGTAATATAGTTACATGTACTTGGTTTGGACATTAAGAAGCAAAAATTTATATCAATATTATTGAGTATTATTGAGTCAAATTGATGTCAATGATGGTGAGATATATTGACATTCCATGACTTAATAAATGAATAGTCACTGTTTGTATGTATATTATCAGATGAGAACACCTGTGAACCGACTTCTATTGAAGTTCATTATCAGTTGATCTTGTTATGTACCTGTTGTCTATCTGCTAGCTTGTTGTACACCTGTAATAAGTGGTTCTCTATTAAAACACAGGAAATTCTGTTCATCCCTAGTAGAGGTATTTAGAAATGTGTTGAATGATCTGCTAAACTTAGGTTTCCTTGCCTTTGGAACCAACACCTGGTTTAGTCTCTGTAAAGGAAATATATATTGATCTTGATCTTGGCAATGATTGGTACAGATTTTATCCAACACTTAAGATTATACACCTTGAAAACACTGCTTGTGGCATCAATTCTTATCTGTAGTAAAGGAATGTAGAAATATGTGGAATGATATGCCTTGCTTGGAGCAACACTTAATCTAGACGTTACAGAAGAATAAGGCGGTGGGGACTGTTGCTCCAGGAGACGAGGTGGCTCATATAAGTTAAAGGGACAGATGTGCCATTTTGGGGGGTTGATTTAAGTCTTGAATATATGTCAATAGTCTTCAGTATTACTAGAAAATTCCAGTTTCTGAGACTAAGGTATGATTGGTCAAAAAAATGGCCTGTCTGTCCCTTTAAAGCTAGTTAGCTATTCAATTACAGCAAGGATCAGAACCCCCTGAATGTTTAACCTTGTCAGTTACACAGGTTAGAGGAGCTTACAGGGAACGTTTTCTATAACCAATGTAGCTTGTTTCTAGCTTAAAACTAACTGACTTGATGTACCTTTAAGCTTCCCCTTATTGTATTAAACTGACCTAATGTGGCTTTAAGTTTCTGCTTCCTGTAAAAAGTATGTTTATAATTAAACCTATTAAGAAAGTTGAAGTATTTAATAAAAACACACCTTCAATCTCATCATAACAACTTAAAACAGGAACTCCTCCTGGTATTTCAGACCTGGCGCCAATATCTTAAAGACACATTCCTACATCTGGTATTGTGGAATATTGATTTTCAAACTAAATCAGGAACCACATTAGCTGATTGCATGTGCACAAAATTCGATCCAAATTTCGCTCATGCAGTACCCTAGGATCTTTCAACTCAATTTCTTCTGTTGATATGGAGGTAACAGATTTAATGAAATAGACAATTTGACATCATCCTCATTTCTGCACCTCACTAGCTAATGAAGACAGTCAATGAAAAAAGTGTTTTTCATTTTTCCCATTTTTGGGAGTGGATTCAGTGTTGAATATATGTAAATAGTCTTCAGAAGTACTAGTAATGTAAGAAATTCTCATGATTCTTTTAAAAATACTTCAAACTAGGAATTTTACTTATTATTTCTATATATGTCTTTTCTATATATCACAGAGTATCTTAATATTCAAACTTGTATAATTCTGGACACACATGGATTTCGACGGTGAGCTGTGAACAAGTTTACTAATCCGCTTCGCTAAAAAAAATCCCATTTCTGAGATGGTAAAAAAAATGGCACATAATAATTTTGAATGGGTTACTAGACAGAGGCTTTGTGTGCACTCAAGATCTATAGACACCTTCAAATGGATAGAGTCTTTTAATGTCATGCTACCGGCAGCATTGTCTTTACTCTTTATGGTGTCTCTGGTTCTACTTTACAAAGACTTGAATAATACAATCGGGATCAGTTGATCTGAAAAGAAACAATGCAGTTAGTATCAGGAAATGTTGAATTTAGTGTATGCCAAGTTTCATTGCTGTGACATAAGTCTTTGCGATTCAGCCTATGAACATTTCAGTTCCCTTAGAATAATTGAGTGATACATAAGCTTATACTAAGGCCAGGGAAATCTCCTTTAAATCCCTTTACATCAATGTTACCAGTGCAAATTTTTTTTATTATCTTGGAACACCCAGCTTTAATTTGTTACACATGTTTCAACTTCAAATACTTAGCTATTAATTTAATTTACTTAAAATAAAACTCGTACAAATGATGTGAATAAAATAAAAACTTCTGAAGAAACTATGTTCCACCACGCCAATAACTTAATGATATTATGACTGGGGTGCAATTCTCTTTCTTTACACCTGCCAAATTCTCTGAATGCCCCCAGCATGCCAATGCCATTGTCCATGTTTGTTTCTCCAGTAAGATCAAGTGGACTATAAAACTTCATTTCTCTATAAACATGGTGTCGTTCTAAATGCTCTTCTACATTTGTGAAATATAAGAGAAATTTGTTCAAATTGACGTCTGTAGCAGAGTATTGGAGATAGAACAATCAGTCAAAACACCACAAAATCCACAGCGTGAAATAAAATGAAAGTTTGAAATGAAAATTCCATTCCACTTGTCTTGACCTTTCTGACCAATGGCATGCAGTGGACAATGGATGAAATTTGATGAAAAGTAAGTTTTGTGTTTTGGAGACCTTCTTCTGCTCCTAAGGAACAGATTAGTGTGATAAAGAAGATAGTTTTCAACAGAAGACACTAGCGCTTGTTAAAGTTATGTGTAAATCAAATTGAAGAACTAAATCAAAAAAGAAAAATCATAAATGGTTATCATATATTGTAATTGTGCCCATGATGATAATTCCTTGAATACTGTGTGTGAGGAAATTGTATAATTTAGAAAGAGTTAAGTTTTAATTTGAAAATCACTTGAAACAATTTGCTGTGGAATTGAAAAAAATTAATAAAAAAGGTGCTTCAAATTATTCTGGGAAACATTAGGAAAATAATGAATATAACTGCTGAAAGTTGGAAGTGGTGTTGATTAGATTCCTTGTGGGTAAATTAGATGATATTGCTGCTGCTACTGTAGGCTTTCATTTACTTTCACCTAACTAATTCTATTCCAGCCTGACTGTATAGCTGTAAGGGATGTATTCGTCTACATATTTAAATTAAAAATTGATAGTGCTACGTTTTTAATGAAAAAAATCAGTACAAGCAAGAAAATTCCCTCAATCAAAAATTTCGTCCAAAGGCTGGCAAAATCAGGAGTAAAGGTAGTATAGTTGACTCCTCCAGAGAGAAGTACCATCAGATGATTTTACACAGAACAAGAAGTTGGATTTTGATTGATTTTGAGCTGTACTACTATTATTACTTGGACGACTCTGTTAGTTAGGATGGTTGAAAAGTATAGAAACTTGAAGGCCTACTTGTCTATTCTAAGTTGTACAGTAATGATGATACTGTTCATGATAAATATTGATACTTGAAGAATTCCTGCAACTACAGGAATCTACAGCACCATTTATATTACAATTCTACTTCCAAAAAATACCTTACTACTAACTTCTCCACCAAACTACTACAAGCAAAACCAAAATAATCAAATTCTTATCTTGTCCATGCGTTTTGTTGAATGAGTTCTTGAACTAAAAAATTAACCAATTCCCAAGTTCTATTATTAAATCAATAAAAAGATAAGTTAACAGTCTGTTATTGGTGATATATCTGATTTTTTATGATTTTTCAGAGTTATTTATAAAAATATCCAAATTCCTTCCACCATTTCGGCACTTCCTGCTAGTCTGTTTATTTTGGCGTTATTTTATTTGATATGTCAAATATTCGATAGCAATACGAGAAATACGAGAATAAAAACTCTCTGTCAGAATCTGATAGCTTCAGACATTTATTGAAGAGAAGGTCAATCTCTCTCCCTATAGTTAGATCTAAGAACATAGAGTAACATCAGAGTAGTTGTAGTATATAAAGATCCCTCGACATTTGGAAATCTAAAAAAGCTAACGCTGCTGTCCTGGCAAAATTTCCCTCGTTGCACACTGCATGGCATTGTCTGTCCTCATTAACCCATTAGATGCAGGAAAGCAGGACATAAAACTAATTTCATTGTATAATCTTTATAAATTTACTTTGTATCTGGCTATTTTATTTAAACATCAATTGTATATTATTTAAAGAATTCTGTACCTTTTATTGAATGATAATGTAATGTACTTTTTGTGTTTTCTTTGTAATAAGTGCCAAAATTTTGTCTTGCTTTTCATCACTATGTTCAGGTTGCAAAAAACTTTAACCACTGATTGTTCCATATAACTGTATGTTTATATGTCTGTTGTAGTTGTAGTACTTTATGAACTAGAATATATTGCTACAGTTGTAGTATTTCATAAAATATTATATATTGCTACAGTTGTAGTATTTTATGAACTACTATATATTGCTAAAGTTGTAGTATTTTATGAACTAGTATATATTGCTACAGTTGTAGTATTTTATTAACTACTATATATTGCTAAAGTTGTAGTATTTTATTAACTAGTATATATTGCTAAAGTTGTAGTATTTCATAAACTACTATATATTGCTAAAGTTGTAGTATTTTATGAACTAGTATATATTGCTAAAGTTGTAGTATTTTATGAACTAGTATATATTGCTACAGTTGTAGTATTTTATGAACTACTATATATTGCTAAAGTTGTAGTATTTTATGAACTAGTATATATTGCTACAGTTGTAGTATTTTATTAACTACTATATATTGCTAAAGTTGTAGTATTTTATTAACTAGTATATATTGCTAAAGTTGTAGTATTTCATAAACTACTATATATTGCTAAAGTTGTAGTATTTTATGAACTACTATATATTGCTAAAGTTGTAGTATTTCATAAACTACTATATATTGCTACAGTTGTAGTATTTTATGAACTACTATATATTGCTAAAGTTGTAGTATTTTATGAACTAGTATATATTGCTACAGTTGTAGTATTTTATTAACTACTATATATTGCTAAAGTTGTAGTATTTTATGAACTACTATATATTGCTAAAGTTGTAGTATTTTATGAACTAGTATATATTGCTACAGTTGTAGTATTTTATTAACTAGTATATATTGCTAAAGTTGTAGTATTTTATGAACTAGTATGTATTGCTACAGTTGTAGTATTTTATTAACTAGTATGTATTGCTACAGTTGTAGTATTTTATTAACTAGTATATATTGCTACAGTTGTAGTATTTCATAAACTACTATATATTGCTACAGTTGTAGTATTTTATTAACTACTATATATTGCTACAGTTGTAGTATTTTATTAACTACTATATATTGCTACAGTTGTAGTAATTTATTAACTACTATATATTGCTACAGTTGTAGTACTTTATTAACTAGTATATATCGCTACAGTTGTAGTATTTTATGAACTAGTATATATTGCTACAGTTGTAGTATTTTATGAACTAGTATATATTGCTACAGTTGTAGAATTTTATGAACTAGTATATATTGCTACAGTTGTAGTGTTTTATTAACTACTATATATTGCTACAGTTGTAGTATTTTATTAACTAGTATATATCGCTACAGTTGTAGTATTTTATTAACTACTATATATTGCTACAGTTGTAGAATTTTATGAACTACTATATATTGCTAAAGTTGTAATATTTTATTAACTACTATATATTGCTACAGTTGTAGTATTTTATGAACTAGTATATATTGCTACAGTTGTAGAATTTTATGAATTAGTATATATTGCTACAGTTGTAGTATTTTATTAACTACTATATATTGCTACAGTTGTAGTATTTTATGAACTAGTACATATTGCTACAGTTGTAGTATTTTATGAACTAGTATATATTGCTACAGTTGTAGAATTTTATGAACTAGTATATATTGCTACAGTTGTAGTGTTTTATTAACTACTATATATTGCTACAGTTGTAGTATTTTATTAACTAGTATATATTGCTACAGTTGTAGTATTTTATTAACTACTATATATTGCTACAGTTGTAGTATTTTATGAACTAGTATATAATGATACAGTTGTAATATTTTATTTACTAATTTATTACATTATTATATACCTGTTGATAATTACTGGTTGTAGTGATGGATGAATTAATACAATAGCACATTTTATTATTTCTATCAGAGAAGATAGATCAATGTAAATATAATAAATGGATGTGGATTTGAATTAGTTCTGGAGAAGTAAAGGCTGAGTTAGAAGTAAAATTTAACTTTCATTTTATATAATTCTTGTCTTGTCTAAATTTCCCTACCCATTCCCTCAACAGTCATCATGAGTATCATGAATACTAGGAAGTCAATTTGATACCTTGTCATTGATTTATTACAGGGATTGTAGCAGTTAGTATGGCAGTATGAAGTAAAGACTGGTGTTAGGTGGTGAATGGTACAGGCTGGGAACAGAGAATGACTGCTTTAGTGCAGTACAGGTAAGACTGATTCTTATACTGTGGTAGAGCTTTAAAAAGCTTAAAACTATAAATTTAATACATCAACAAACACTTTACATTGAATCAACATGCTAGTAAGTACATCAATTTAATTTCTCATTAGCTAATACCCTTTACCTTATCAGAGGCATATGGAGAAAATTGCTTAGGATAGGGGGCTAAAAATAAAAGGTATCTCTCCAGGTCTCAGGAAAATTCAAGGCCCATTGACCTTTCACAGTTCCAATAGCCTGTGATAAAGGTACAGAAGGAACATTATGTGTGGAGGGTAACAGTAGAAATTTTCTGCCTCACAACACATAACAATAATCGAACATCATACAATTAAGGAAATATACAGTGGCAATACTTGGTATTACAAATTTTGTAGACAATTCAAAGGATCATTAAAAAGGATTACAAAGACATCATCTTTTGATCTCTTTAAGAAACAATATCTGCAAATAGCTAGGGTGTGGGTGATATTTGACATATACTAATTTACCCTTGTACCCAATTCTCATTAGGCACTGTTCTTTAAAAATATATAATGTAAATTCAGTGTTGTTATTTTTTCACTATTTGGTATATTATAATACTACGTGGTTCCCCTGCTAAGACTATTAAAAGGTGCAGTATGACATGCTAGCAGTGGTTGGCAGCTACTAGATGATAGATATCTTAATCAGAAAGTTTGAACGTGATTCAGGAATCCAGGTATATAAGACAATACATTGTGAAAACACATTGACTTTGGTGAATTTTTTGGTTTTAAAAATACAAAGAGTTTATTATTGCCAACAAGATCACATGTTTCTGGTGTAAACTGATTTATTTCTATTCTTCTGCTGTGAACTGTGTTTTTATCAGTACTTTATGTTATATTTGTAATATAAATTACATTTTTTCTTCTGATGTTTTTAAGAAATAAATTGTTTAATTTGTGTGTTGAGAAAACCATGGCCTATTATCAGCAATTTGTTGAAATACCATACTTGGATAACTTAACATGAAAGCCAAATAGAATCCAAGAGGAAAGTAGGTGGAGATTAGGTGTGCTACAACCAGTCCAGTTTGATGTTGTTGCACAGCTGAAGCTCCACCCCTTTTTTCAACAAAACTCCCGACTTGCACTTGCTTCTATTTCATTGGATAAAACGGTTACATCAATGATGTAATAAGTTCAAGCTGTTACAAGTCATATAAATCACGTGTCTTGCTTATTAACATCTTTTACGAAACTTTGTTAACTCGTATATATACTAATTATATGAATTCCAAGACATTGGCTGATTTGTAAAATATGCTGTTACAACAAAAACAATAACTGGACAATTCCAGTTGTAATTAATGCATCAAATAAACTACTGTCTGACTACACTGAGCTCTGAATTGAATTTTTTTCTCATTTCATAAATATTCAAAATCAAATTTTACAACTGTATGCCATTTGTGTTAGAAGGTCTTTGGCTCCATAGAAATATGAGGTACAGTGATTTTACATTTAAAATAGAAACACTTCCCTTCACGTGAAAATGACCTCCTATATAAAATTCCCCTTTGTAAAATTCCCCAATTTTTACAATTAATATTTTTTTCAGTGGTTAACATTTTCATCAACTCAAAGACAATCTAAGATAAGACTCTCACTAGTATTTTGTAGTTGGCATTTCAATTCATAGGAAAATGATTGTCAAAATTCATTTCAGAAAACAGTGTAGTCAAAGAGTACATTTGCTTTGTGGACTTTCAGAAAGGGAAACTGAGTTCACAAACCCAGTTGTATAGTGCCATTAGGTGTTCCAGAAGGTTGTACATGCCTGGCCTCATATAATTAATCCCATACTCAATAAACTTGATTTAGACTCCAAAAGCTTCAAGCTAGTTGGTAGAACGAAAAAGTAGAAAATCGCCATTCTCGCGATTATTAGTGACTGTGAAAAAAGAGACAAAGCTTCTGTCTTCAATAAGATGACAATTTCTATGACTGTTTCCTCAAAGGAAAAGTTTTTAGTATTAAAACAAACTAGTTCTCTTTTCAGTCTATGAAATCATACATAATTTACTCTTCAGTGTAGGAGGTGGCTTTGTTCATTTTTCCGATACATCTGTTTGAGTATGTTTTAATCTGATTGGCTTCTCTCAAGAGACTATTTTTTTTCTACAGAGACACAAAAGACTAGAAATAAACTGTGATATCAGTGAACTGGAAGCGGATGTTAACTTGTCATCTACCCGAAAGGCTAGTAACACAATGGGAAAAACTGGATCTTTTGGAAACTGTTCATTAAGACTTTCATGATGCAACTTGTTGGATATATACTTACAATTGCCGAAGTCAAGACATTGGCTACAGTGCTATAGGTGTACAATAATGAACAATATAACTAGGGGTGGACTTATCAGCTCTAGGCTTTGAACCACTAGGTTTTTTTCAAGGACCCCAATGCCAAACTGCCCATACTCACTTTTCCTTTCGGATTCATAATTTTCTATAAAATCAATAGGAAAGTCATAAATAATTTTGTGATTAGTGTCATAAGATCTCTCTGGGTCCTCTCACCCCCCAGGACTGTCTGACCACTCAGCCCCTGTAACACAGAGAAGGTTTGAGGCATTCAAGAGTAATGGGTATGGAATTTTAAAAATGATCATTACTAAGATTAATTTGTAGGCTGAGAGAATCCACAAGAAGTTCTTTCCTTTATATAATAAGGGCTTTTGTTGTTGTTTTTATCTGACCTTGATAAAACTTGGTATGCACGCATATATTGATGAGATCTCAATCTCAAGTTCGAAATCAGTAATAATCGGATGAACGGTTTCATAATTATTGCCTGTGACTTAGTAAAAAAGCATCAAATTTTGCTTGAAGGCACAATAGAGGCTAAGATTATTTGAAATTCTTAGTTATCATTTCTGAGAGTTGGTTGTGGGTGTATTTTACCTTACCTAACAAGCTTTTTTCCATTGATTTTTACATGTCATAGAATAATGATATAGATAGAAGTTGCATGATTCCAGTAGTTTTAGCACATACTAAAAGTAGATGAGAAGATTGACAGGTCTGGACCGAAGAGACTCTAGTCTATCTGTTATTACTCCCATATCATATATTATTGATACTCTATGTTTTATCACCTTGTTACTACACGTTACCTAATTAACTAGAGTGTTATAACTTTTCCAGTTTCATTTATATTTCTCCAGTGTAAATCACGAAGAAGGGGAATCTTTTATTAAGGAAGAACAGGTAATTTGTATCATTA